TCTCTCTCTCTCTCTCTCTCTCTCTCTCTCTCTCTCTCTCTCTCTCTCTCTCTCTCTCAATGGCCTCCACGAAAGGCCAGGACCGGGGGAAGATGGTCCTCGAATGCCAAAAATACCTCGGAGTCCATTAAAAAAAAAAAAAGGAAAAAAAGTCGATTTTTGTTTTGTTTCCCATGTAGTACAGGACAGGGGCCATCCCCCCATGCTTTCGTTTTTGAACGCCAGACATGCCTAGGTTGAGGCACCACGGGCCACCAAATGCCCAATTTGATGGTGGGGAGGGGTGAAATGCACCTCTTGGCTACCCCCAATATTTAAAAAACCATAAAAATCGTTTTTTGTTTTGGGTTAAAAAAACATGCAAACATGCAACTGGATGCTTTCTGGACTAGATACATTCAAAATATTGAACTCATCCAGCTTCACCTGATAGAGAAAGCCTCCAGGTGCATGTGCAGTGTTGTTACAAGCTGAAGCTGCCACGTAAAAGTAGCCCACCAAATATCCGAAAGCATTCCCCGAAATTCGTAAAGCATTCAATTGAGGGCCTTGCTCCACTAGGCAACAGTCACAACTGTTACATGCATTGAACAGTGCACACTTCCTGGACCAGGATGACCAGGTGCATGCAAACGAGTCCATCATCCCTTGTTTTTCTCTTGTTTCCTTTTTTGAAGGCCGGTGGTAATAGTGGGGTTGATAGTATGTTCCTGTGGCCGCTCGATCTATTGGTGGGGACTCTGGGGAGCTACACCTGCTGGAAAATGGGTCCACCGCCCCTTTACACAGAAAATAAATTCAGGCGAGATCCAGATCCAGCCGCATCGATTGCCCGGGAAGTCCCGGGGATTAACTGAGTGGACTGCTTTCTGCTGTATGGCGTCCATGTCTTCGAGAAACGCTGCATAGCGTTCTCGGGCATCGGGAGGGGCACCGGAGGTCGAGGTTGCTCTGCAGCCTACAGATAAGCATGTGTATAAGAGACAGAGGTTGCTCTGCAGCCTACAGATAAGCACTCATGAGAAATAAGGTAGTAGCTTCCTCAGGCCAATGTAGGTCTTCAGTGAAGTGAGAAGAAAGTTAGCTTGAGTTATCAGGAAGTGGCATCATCAGATGCACAGCAGACAGGCAAGCGGGTGTACACAGATGCTGGCTCTTAATTAGTCATCCTTCAGTACCTGCATCTTGAAGATATCCGGTTCAGAAAGCTTCCAAATGCGTTGTAAGTATTGTCCTATTGTGTGGCGGAGTGAGGCCAACACGCACACACACACACACACACACACACACACACA